GGAGGAGGAGGGAGGTGGGAGGAGGAGGATGAGGAGGAGGAGGAGGAGGAGGAGGAGGAGGAGGAGGAGGAGGAGGAGGAGGAGGAGGAGGAGGAGGAGGAGGAGGAGGAGGCAGAACGCCTCGAAACGTACAAGCTGTTGGGTCCACGTGCGGCTGCCTGACAGCGGGCCCGCTCCCCAGCCGGCCGCGTGCCGCCTCCGCGCCGGGCCCTCCGCGGCGCCAGGCGGCGCCCTCAACGCGTCGCGGCTCCGCCGCCGCGGGGCGCGGCTGGTGCGCGGCGGCGGCCGTCGCCGCGGCGGTGCCGTGTGTCACTTTGCCGCGGCCTCGCGGAGCTCGGGCTGCCCGGCGCGCCCTGGCTGCGCGGCGCAGGCGGGGCCGCACGACGATGCGATCCGATCCGATTCTTTCGGCTCGTTGCAGCCGGCAGGATTTCCAAGGACGCCCCCCCAACCGCTCGCGAGGCCCAGGGTGCCCCCGGGGGCTCCAGAATGCAGCGAAAGGCCGGGGCCACCTCGGGCCAGGGACACCTTCAGCCATCCCCGCGCAGGGCGGTACTGGGCGTGACCGCGCGGCCGGCGCGCGCCGCCGAGCAGGAGGAGGAGGTCGACGTCATCGTCGTCGGGGCGGGCTTCGGCGGCCTCGCCGCGGCGGGCCTGCTGGCGCGCACGGGGCGGAGCGTGCTGGTCTGCGAGTCGCACTCCGTCCCAGGCGGCGTGGCCCACGCCTTCTCGAGGCAGGGCTACGAGTTCGACAGCGGCCCTAGCCTCCTCTCCGGTGCTCCCGTGGAGGAAGACGCGCCAATTGGGAGCCCCCAAACCAGGTGGTGAGATAACCAGGTGGTGACCTGGAATCCCCCAAAATCACCGCCAGGCTTTGGGACACGGGGTTACCGCCGGGTTGCGTGACTCCTGGCACCAGCGTTCGGGACATCCTCGAAGAAGCACACGAGTCCCCAACGGGTGGTGACACCAAGTCGCCCGAGACTTACCGCCGGGTGTTGTCACAACCACGTTTGGGGACTACCAAGCCAGCGTCGGTTCCGTGCCCTCGGCTTCGCCTTCCTCAGGCCTCGTCGCCACGGCACGCTCGCCCTGGAACAGCCTGGTCGGGGCGCACCCTGGTCGAGGTCCGCGGAGCAGAGGTGTCATTTTTTGGGGGGCAGGCTGCCGAGCGCTCCAGGCGCTTGTAGCGTCAAAGGTGTCGGCCTTTGCTTGCTCCCCCAGGCGTGTCTTCCCCTCGCACACCGAACCCGTTGCGCCACGTCCTTAACGCCCTCGGCGAGGACTCAGGAGGGAACAACAAAAACACAGACACAATGATTGTGTCGATGCCCACGATAATATGGGGTGGAGGGGAAGACGGGAATCAAGAACACAGGCGAAAATGATTATGGGAAGTCCTGGGTTCTGTGCCCATTTACATTTGTGTGTGCCCCTGGGCCCCTTCGAGGACTGTGAGTGGGTCACGTATCCCGGCTGGCGGGTCGTGGGCCCCGACGGGGACTTCGACTTCGAGGTTGGCGACGCCGCGAGCTGGGAGGCCGTGGTGCGCCGCTTTGGCGGCGCGGGCGCGGTGGCCGAGTGGCGGCGGTTGTTGGAGCTCGCGGTGCCGCTCGGAGAGGCGTCGAAGGGAGTGCCCGCTGCCGCTCTGAGGCTCGGGAGGAGGAAACGATACAGTGGAGGCCCCTGCCCAGAGACACCCTGCTTGCCTCCAGGGAGCCCGGGGTCTCTTGGGCTTCGATGGTTTTGCGGTGGAAGGCGTGACGTTCCCACACCGAAAATCAACGGACGTCCTGGGGTCTCACTGTTCTGTTTCTTGTTGAAGGTTTCTTGTGGTCTGGCCTCCACTGTACCCCTACCGCTACCCTTCGCCCGTTTTCCCTTTTTTCGGCGGCGAGCGAGGGGGGGAAATGAGCAGCGAGGCGGGGCTTCTCAGAAGGTCTCCGGCCTTCTGTGCTGTTTTTTTGGGGTGTCTTCGGGGATGGCTTGGAAAACTTCACAGAAGTCCCCGGAGCTTCCGAGCCTTCTGAGAAGGCCGTTCCCCCCCGGGCGCGCCGCCTATTTTTGGGACTCCCCGAGATCCTGGCGTTTCAGTTTTTCCGAGCTGGGCGTTGTCGCCTTTTTTCGGCCCGGGGAGAGGTCCGAGGAGTAGCGGTACTGGTTTATTTTTGGTTTCCCCATGAGGGGCGATTTCGGGGCCGCCGCCACGCTCGGCAGGTTCCTGGGGCGGCTGCCGCCGCTGCTGCTGAACGGGCTCCAGTTCCAGGCTCCGCTCGCCCTCCTCTTCCCCCTCCTCCATGGTCGATGGCTGGTGCTTCGCGTGGTGGAGTCCCCTTCCCTTCAGTGGGGAAGCTTGCATTTTCTCATAGTCGCTGCACGGTTCGCACGGGGAAGATTCCAGGCCCCGTTCGCCGACCTCATGCGGAAGGCGGGCGTGCGGAGCCCGTTCCTGAGGCGCTGGCTGGACTACATCTGCTTCGTGCTGCAGGCACTGCCGGCGGAGACGCACCCGACGGCGCCCGTGGCGTACATGCTGTCGGACATGCACGCGCCTGGCGCCGCGCTGGATTATCCTCGGGGGTGGCTGCAGGTGTTCCTGGCCCAATCCTGAGATCCTGGCGTTGCATTCTGCGGGGCAGCGGCAGGGGCAGTGGCAGGGGCAGTGGCAGTGGCAGCGGCTGGGGGTCGGCCGCGGCGGGGCAGCCGCACGGCAGAGGGGGAATCCAGGGGGCAATTCTTTTTGTTCTTTGACGTTGCGATCTTGTTCCTACCGCCACTAGTCGGGTATAGCCAGGACCCCAGGTAAGGGGACCGGGTTAGTGGTAGGGTCCTGGGGCCCCTCAATTGGCCAGATTCGCTAAACCAGGTTTGATGGTGGTGGTGGTGATTCTGATGATGATGATGATGATGATGATGATGATGATGATGGTGATGATGATGACGATGACGATGACGATGACGATGATGATGATGATGATGATGATGATGATGATGATGATGATGATGATGATGATGATGATGATGATGATGATGATGATGATGATGATGATGATGGTGTCAGTGATGGTGATGGTGGTGATGATGATGTTGTTGTTGGTGGTGGTGATGATGGTGGTTGTGGTGATGGTGATGGAGATGGTAATGGCGATGATGATGGTGATGGTGATGGAGTGCGTCGCTCTCTGCTGGACGAGGCCCCTCCATAGGCTGATTTCAGAAACATTCTTGGTACTAGACTTCCCCCTCTGTTGTGCATCACCCTCTGCTCGACGAGGCCCCTCCCCAAGTTGATCAAAGAAGGGATCTTTGGTGCTAGAGATGGCACATTTGCGAGACGCGGTGCTTCGCCAAAGACATCCTTGGTGCCAGACGCGCCCCTTCTGCTGTGCCTCATCCTCTGCTGGCCGAGGCCTTCCCCATGCTGATTCCGGAGTAGCACGTCCTTGGTACTAGACGTGCTCGTATGCTGTGCATCACCCTCTGCCGGACGAGGTCCCTCCCAAGGTTGATGAAGACAGGCTCCTTAGTGCCAGACGTGCCCCATCTGCTGTGCGTCCATCTCTGCTGGGCGAGGCACCTCGCCAAAGACACCCTCGGCGTTACACGCGCCCCCCCCCGCTGTGCATCGCCCTCTGCTGGACGAGGCCCCTCCCCGAGCTGATTATAAGAAAACTCCAGAGGCGTACGCCAATCCGCCGACGACCCCCAGAAGAAGCGTTGCGTCCACGGTTGAGGCATCGTCGTGGGCGTCTTGGGATCTGTTTGGGGGCCTGGCGGAGCCTCTTGGAGGCAGTTTCGAAGCGTGTCGAGGGCCGCTTTGGGGCCTCTCTTGGGCCTCGAGAGGTCCTCTGGAGGCTTGTTGGGGGCCTCTTCTGGGCCGCGCTTGGGGGCTTCTTGGGGCCTTTGGGGGGCCTCTTGGGGCGGAAGGTTCGGATTTTCGGTTCGTGTTCTCCCTCTTCGCCTCTCCGGGGCTTCCTTGGGGCGATCCTTGGTCGTCTTGGGCCCCTCTTTGGTCCATTTTGGAGCCCTCTTGGGCCGTCCTGGGGCCCTAGTGGGAGCCTCTTGGGCAGTTTTGGGGCGGTCCACGGGGCCTCTTGGGCCGTCTTGGAGCGTCAGACGCCTGAGAAGACGATGACCCCAGAAACAATGACAAACCTGACTCAAACCATTGATTTTTTGTCTCGGGGCCCTCTCGGGAAGGCTCTTGGGGCGCCTCGAAGGCGTCTTGGGGGCGTCTTGGAGCCGTCGTAGGCGTCTTGGGCTAATCGTTCCGCGATTCGGGATCGCCTTGGAAGGTCTTTGAGGCCACGGAAGGGAACTGCGGACCGGGGGTGCGCCGAGTAGCCCGGACTTCCCTCCTCCTCCTCCTCCTCCGCCCTTAACGGGATTTTGGATCCTGGGGGACGGGCAAGGGGGAGGGGGACAGCCAATCATGTCACATGCCTTCTCGAACACGGCAAGCGGCGGTCGGCGGACGTCCTTGGAACTAGACGTGCCCCTCCGCTGTGCATCGTCCTCTGCTGGACGAGGCCCCTCCCCAAGTTGATCAAGAAAGACCCTTTGATGCTACACATACCCCTCTGTTGTGCGCCACCCTCTACTGGACAAGTCTCCTCCACAATCTGATTCAACAAGAAGCCTTGATACTAGGCACGCCCCTCTGCTGTGCACCACCTTCTGCTAGACCAGGCCCCTCACCAAGCTGATTAATCGAACACCCTTGATATCAGACGTGCCTTTTTGTTGTGCATCGTTCTCTGCTAGATGAGGCCCCTCCCCAAGTTTATTAAAACATAATCCTTGTTGATAGACGTGCTCCAGCTGCTTCGCAACGACCTTTTCGAGACGATTCGTCTTTGGCGAGGTGCCTCGTCTCAGACGCATAAGCTCGCCCGTGACATGCTTGGTGATAGACGCGCCCATTCTGCTGTGCATCATCCTCTGTAGGACGAGACCTTCCCAAAGTATATGAAAACATAAACCTTGGTGTTCGACACGGCGCTCTGCTGTGCGCGACGCTTTGCTTGACGAGGTCCCTCCCCAAGTCGAGCGAACGAATTCCTGGTGCCATACATGCCCGATCTGCTGTGCATGAACTTCTGCTGGACGAGGCACTTCGCAAAAAACACTCGTGGTCCTAGACGCGCCCCTCTGCTGTGCATCGCCCTCTGCTGGACAAGGCCCCATTGCAAGTTGACTAAGCAACCATGCTCGGTTCTACACGTGCCCCTCTGCTGTGCATCGTTCTCTGCTGGACGAGGCTCCTCCCCAAGCTGATCAAGCATCATTTTGATGCGGCACACGCTTTTTTGCCGGGCATCATCCATTGCCAGGCGAGGCTCATCCTCAAGCTAATCAAGCGATGTCTTTGATGCCAGACGCGCCCCTCTCCTCTGCGCCGCCCGCTTTTAGACGGGCACCTCTCCAAGCTGGTTAAATAAACGCTGTCCTTGATACTACGCGCGCCCCTCTGCTGTGCATGATCCTCTGCTGGACGAGGCCCCTCCCCTAGTTTAGTGAACAAAGACTCTTGGGTGCTAGACGTGCCCCTCTGCTGTGCACCACCCTCATCTAGACGAGGCCCCTACCAAAGCTGATTAAGCAAAACAACATCCTTCGCACTAGACGTGCCCCTCTGCTGAGCATCATCCTCGGCTGTACGAGGCCCCTCCCCAAATTGATTGTTAAGACTCCTTGGTGCCAGACCTGCCCCATCTGCTGTGCATCGAACTCTGCTGGACGAGGGACCTCGCCAAAGACACCCTTGGTCCTAGACGCATCCCTCTGTTGTGCATCACCCTCTGCTGGACAGGCTCCTCTGCAAGCTGATTGAGCAAACATCCTTTATACTAGACGTGCCCCTCTGCTGTGCATCGTTCTATGCTGGACGAGGCCCCTCCCCAAGTCGATTATCAGCACATCTGTGACACTCGACATGCCCGTCTGCTGTGCATCACCCTCTTTTCGGCGAGGCTCCCCCTTAGTTTTTTGTTTTTATACATCTATAACACATTCCTTGTACTAGACGAGGTCCCTCCCCAAGCTGATTCAAAAAGCGTCCTGGGTACTCCGCTTAGCGCTGGTGCGCAGCTGGTGCGCGACGAGACCTCGTCTAATAGCGGCTGGTGCGCACTGTCCACGTCTCACAGCCCTCATTGGGCATTGCGGTGCCCGGGGCCGCTGGGCGCCGGGTCCCGGGCCCCAGGCATTTCGAAGACTTTACTTAGTAGGGCAGCAGGGCAGGGAGGCAGGGCAGCAGGGCAAGGCAGGGCAGGGCAGCAGGGCAGGGCGAGGCAGGGCAGCAGGGCAGGGCAGGGCTCAGCAGGAAGCACAGCAGCAGGGCAAGGCAGGGCAGTGCAGGGCGCGCGCGCGCGCGCCCTACCCTGCCCTGCTGCCCTGCCCTGCTGCCCTGCCCTGCCCTGCTGCCCTCCCTGGCCCTGCCCTGCTTCCCTGCCTTGCTGCCCTACCCTGTCGCCCATGAGATCCGACGATGCGAGAAAAGTTGCAACATCGTGAAAGCTCACACGGCAGGAGCCCAAGACCCCACCGTTCTGCAGCATCTCTCGAGCCAGATCGCTCTGTGAGGGCCCCTGGGCCCGAAAGCCTCGCGAAAGCGCCTGGTGTGAAGGAATCGCAATGCCTGTATCTCCCAGGACATCCAGCGCTCCTCTTTTTCGATGCGTAGGCCCCGGAGGTCTGGACCCCTTCCCCTGGACTGGCTTTACATCTTGGGTAAATTTTTGACGCTCCCGGGTCCTGGCGAGGGACCGCAAGAGGCCGGAAACGTCCAACCACTTGTTGGGCCAGGGGCGCCTCCTCGGCACCGCCCGATATCCGAGGGGCGGCATGGGCGAGCTCGTCCAGGCGCTGGCCAGGGGCGTCGAGCGCCACGGGGGCCGCATCCGGTACGGCGTGCACGTGGACGGCATCGAGCTGAGCTCGAGGAGGAAAACCAGCGGCATCAACATAAACTTTCGCAGCTCCGCGCGGGTTTCATGGATCGGCGCCTCCCCTCCCTGGCGCGCGGAGCGCGCCAGGAGCGGCGCCAGAGGCGGCGCCAGAGGTCCAGGGGTCCCAGTGCCGAGCCAAGAAACCCGCGCGGAGCTTCGAAAGCTTACGGTCGTTTCGTGTCGAGCCGTCGCGGCCACGACCCCAGCGTTGGCGTTCAAGGTTGAACGCCGCCAGTGGCGCAGCATCGGCGAACATAGAAAGATCTGGCCATCGGAAAGCCGCTGATCGTTCAAGGTTTGAACGCTTCACGCGGCGTCAGAAATCAACGCCAGGGCCGCCACGACGCGCACCTGCCGTGCGTTGGCGCAGTTCTGGTTCTGCTCCTCGATGGGCGAGGGTGGCCGGCGCGCGGCTGGCGTGCGCCTGCGCGGCGGTGGCCGCCTCCTCGCGCGGGAGGCTGTGGTGAGCAACGCCAGCGCGTGGGACACCGCGCGGCTGCTGCCAGAGGGCCTGCCCACGGGGGGCGCGCCGGCGGCTGCCGCGGCGGAGCCGTGCGGGTCCTTCATGCACCTGCACCTCGGGCTGCGGGCCGACGAGGCGCCGGCAACTGGGCTTCCACAGCAGTTCATGGTCGGTTGTTTTGTGCCTGCCGGCGTGGTGGATCTGTCCCAGCGGCGTCGCGGCCAGTCCGGACGAGTTCGGCCCAGCGCCTTTCATAGAAGGGAAAAGGATGACCGAACACACACGATGGTGTACAGTCCACTCGCACAGTCAGGATGAGCGACTTTCCAAGGTTGCCCTTGCATCCTTGCCCCTTCGGCCCACCCTCAGCGACTCACGCTGGCCAGCCCCGTTTGAAACACGCCAGCGTGGCCTTCCAAGGCACTGGCATCCTTTCCCGCGTGCCCTCACGTATGCGACTGGACTCTGTGCACGCACGGTGCGTGTACGCACAGCCGACCTTCGACATCGCGCGACGTTAAACCGTGCGCTCCGCGCGTCTGGGCGGCGGTCAGCAGCAGGCACGGCAGCGCAAGGCCCAGGCTTCAGTCGGGCCTGTCCCTCTACAGGAGGAATATTCAGAAATAACAGAAATATTGTTTTTTTGTTTTTCTGTTTTGTTTTTTGTTGTTAAATCAACAACAACAAAATCCGCCTGTACGGGAACGGCCCGACCTAAGCCCAGGCCTCCGGAGCTTGCCTGCCAGCCCCGGGGCGGCTTGCTGGCCTCGAGGGGGTGGCGGCCTCGCTCGCCGAGGGAGCGTGCTCCCTGGTAGTGGCGTTTGCTCCCTTCTTGGACACCGCGGGCGCCCGAGGGTGTGCGCGGCACCTCGGGCTCCGGGCGGGCCCGGCGGGACCCTGCGTCGAATTTCACATTTGGTCGTGTGAGTTTTTCGACTGCCCAGTCAGGCCGATTCGAGTCCTCCAAATTCGAGTCTCATGTCTCCCCGAGTGTGCTACGCTGGCGGCCCGTGTAAGCCGCGGCGTGCGGTCGCTATCTCTTATTGCGTAAGGCCCGTTTCTTGTCGTCGTCGCTCAGGCTCTGGCGGCACGCACGGGGGGCTGGCGGACCCCTGACGTTTTCGCGTGACGAGAACACGCCACGGTGGAACGTTATCGCAACTGTTTGGGCCCTCCGGGGGCCTCAGCGGGCCCCGGGGGCGTCAGAGAGAGACTCAGGACGCAGCGCCTGTCCCTGGCAAAAGGTCCAGGCATGCCTGCGGAGGGGGGCGGCCTCCTACCTCCTCAGAAGCATCCACCGCTTGTTCCAGAGGCCCCCCCCTTCTCTCTGCCCCCTCCCACCTCCCCGCCTGGAGGTGCCGAGGGACCTGCCCCTCCACTTCAGCGTCATCCGCAGCTGGGAGGAGGAGATAGGCTTGGCGGCGAACTCCGAATCCTGCTCGTGCCGATCCATGATTCAGGCAACTCGATGGGCAGTGGGGGTAGGGTCAGGAGTTCGTCGAACATGCTTCGAAGTCCGAACCCTACCTGGGCCTCCCGTCATTTCAGGAGACTCGATGGTTGGTGGGGATAGGGTTCGGATGCCGCCACCTTAGGCGCCACCGGCAACGTGGTCATTATTAGCGTTCCCAGCGTCGTGAACCCGGCGCTAGCGCCCCCGGGCAGGCACTGCGTGCACGCGTACCTCGCCGCGACCGAGCCCTTCGAACTTTGGGAAGGTCTCCGGCGCGGTACTCCAGAGTACGAGGCGCTCAAGCGGGATCGGGCCAGGCCGCTCTTCGAGGCCGTCGAGCGCGCGATCCCGGGCGCCACGGGCGCTATCGAGCTCGAGCTCGTCGGCTCCCCGCTAACCCACGCGCGCTTCTGCAGGAGGCACAGGTCGGGCGGGCCCAGGACCAGGATGCATCGCTCCAGGGCGTTCCAGAGCGCTTGCTCTCAGAGCGCTCCAGGGCGCTCTGGAACGGCCGCGGCGCTCGGTGTATCCTCCAGAACCGCCGTGTCTCCAGTGCATCCCCGAGCTGCCCCCGTCCGATTCTGTCCTGGTCCCGGCGTCGTCTTCCCAGACATCCGCGGGCATGGTTTTCCCGACCCTCCTGCGTTGGGTTCCCGTTTTGAATCGAGCAGTGGTCGCACACCCCTTCGCCCGCATCCCTCCTGCCTGCCTGCCAGCCTGCCTCCTACCTGTCTTCTGCCCTGCCTCCGCGATCCCTGGCGCGCTGCGATCTGCGAATGTGTCGCTGGTTTCGAGGGCTGCTGGGTGAGGGCAGCGTGGTAGGTACTCGCCGCAGATTCAGATTTGACCTTGCCATCCCTGGGGGGCTGCGATCTGCGAATCTGTCGCCACTTCCGGGGGCTGCTCGTGGGGGCAGCATAGTGGGTTACTGGCCGCAGATACAGCTTAGACCTCGCCACCCCTGGGGGGCTACGATCTGCGAATCCGTCGGTGGTTTCGAGGGCTGCTGGGGGAGGGCAGCGTAGTGGACAATCGCCGCAGATTCAGATTAGACCTCGCCTCTGTGGGGGTCTGCGATCTGCGAGTCTGTTGCCGCTTCCGAGAGCTTCTGGGGCGTCCAGCGGGGTGACGTCCCGCGGGTCCCGAAGGCCTGGCGGCGCGCTGCACGGTGTACGAAGGAACCGGTAACCTGATGGGCGAGGTCGGACTTGCTCGCGTCTTGCACTAGTTATGAGCAGCTGATTCTTCGGAACGCCAAGGCGACATGGAGCGGGCCGCGCTGCTTGTCCAGCGTGCCACTAGACAATGACCGCCATCCTCTTTCCTCATCCTGCTCATTTCGTTGCCGTCCTCTTCCTACTTCGCCGTCTCGCTGCTGCTGTCGCGTTAACTTTCCGGCGCCTCTCTGTCCTTCTCCTGCCTTTCGTTCCCGCTCCCATTTCTTCTCCGAACTTGTGGCCCCTCGTTTTTTTTTTTTTTTTTTTTTTTTTTTTTGTTTTTTTTGTTTTTTTTGTTTTTTGTGCTGTCTAGTCAGTCGGGCAACGCGCGCGCGCTTCCCATATGGCTTGCGCTACCAATGACGGATCTTGTGTTGTCATCAGCCGCGTTATTCTTGACCAGCGCCTTTTGTCACTTAGTGCAGATGTGTTGGGTACGGCGCAGGGTCGCGGCCCCACAGCTCCCGAACCCTTGCTCGCGGGTAGCACTTCGTCCCATACCCGATTTGGTGTTCCTGGATCCCTGTAGCGGGCCTCAGAGGCCAAAATGAAGGGAAAACGCCAGAGTTGAAAAATCATACCCTCAGATATCTGGGTCCTGACAGGGGCACGTACGGCCCCCTGGCCCCGTCCGCCGCCGGCATGCTGCCTGGGGCGAAGACCAGCATCGAGGCACACCAGCCACAATCGGGGGAGCTGGGTTCCTTACCTCCCTGGCGGACCCATCGGTTTGGGCAACCTCCTCGGAGGATCGTCGACCTGATGGGTTCCCCCAAAAGGGGTAAGGAACACCGCTCCCCCAGTTGTGGCTGGTTGGCGAGGGCCTGCTGTGCTGCGGGGACAGCACGTTCCCCGGCATTGGGGTCCCCGCCGCGGCGGCGAGCGGCTGCGCGGCCGCCGCGGTGCTGATGTCCGTCGAGGAGCACCTGGAGGTGTTGGACGCCATGGACATTCCCTGAGCGGCGCCGGTTGCGATCGGCTGTGTTGCGGCAGCGATATTCGGCCCGGGGGCAGCGGTCGAGGGGTCCAAATCGACGCGCCCTGCTCGTTGTGCGCAGGGTCATTCGGGCGTTGGCGGGATGGTGTTCGATACACCACCCCACTGGGCCCTCATTGAACGTTGTTCATCTTTTGACGGGGGCGACGGCGACGACGATGCTGATGATGATGGTGGAGGTGATGATGATGACGATGATGACCAGGACGAGGACGAGGACGAGGAAAATGACGACCGAGAGGAGGATGACGAAGACGATAACAATGGACAAGACAGTAATCATTGTGATTCTGGTTGTGGTGATGATGATGATGATCGTGGTGGTGATGGTGATGATAGATGATGATGGTGGTGATGATGATGATGCTGATGCTGATGTTGATGCTGATGCTAGTCTGATGACGAGGATGATGATGGTGGTGGTGGCGGTAATGACGAAGCGATGATGATGCTGCTACTGATGATGCTGCTGCTGCTGATGATGCTAGTGACGATGACGATGATGGGATGATGATGATGATGACGATGATGATGCTGCTGGTGGTGGTGGTGATGATGCTGCTGATAATGATGATTCTAATGCTGATGATGAGGATGAATATAATGATGCAGATGATTCTGCTGCTAGTGATGGTGATGTTAATGACGATGACGATGATGTGACGATGGCGATGACGATGCTGCTGCTGCTGCTGATGGTGATGATGATGGTGGTACTGGTGGTGGTGCCTGTGATGATGATCATGATGATGAGGATGATGATGTTGATGATGATGCCGATTGTGACTATGATCATGATGATGATGATGATGATGATGATGGTGATGATGATTATTATGATGGTCACGATTATGATGATTCCGATGGTGATGCTGGTGATGATGATGCTGATGCTGATGCTGATGCTGCTGATGATGATGATGGTGATGATGATGACGATGACGATGGTGCCCTTGACGCTGCCGACGGTGATGATGATGAGGAGGAGGAGGAGGATGATAATGGTGCTGCTGCTGCTGATGACGATGATGCTGATTCTGCTGCTGCTGCTGATGCTCATGATGCTGATGACGACGATGACGATGAGGAACGATCATGTCGAGGGAGGATGGGGGTAGTGAGGGGGACGAGCGGGATGATGATGACGATGCTGATGATGCTGATGATTGATGATGATGATGATGATGATGATGATGATGATGATTATGAGAATGATGACGATGATGATGCTAATGATGACGATCATGATTCTGATGCTGATGATGATAATTTTGATGATGATGATGATGATGATGATGATGATGATGATGATGATGATGATGATGGCAATGCTGTTGACGATGATAAGGCTATTGATGCTGATGTTGATGATGGCTGTTAATGATGAATATGAGGATGATGCTGATGCTGCTGATGATGATGATGATGGTGGTGGTGATGATGATGATGATGATGATGATGATGATGAGTGGTAGTGATGATGCTGATGATGATGATGCTGATGATGATGGTGATGATGATGCTGATGATGATGATGATTATGCTGATGCTGTTGATGATGGTGGTGGTGGTGATGATGATGACGATGATGGTGATGCTGTTGCTGCTGCTGATGATGATCTCGCTGAGGATGATGATGATGATTACGATGCTGCTGCTGCTGATGATGATGATGCTGATCATGATGATGCTGATGATGCTGATGATGATGCTACTGCTGATGATGTTCATGATGATAATGAGCAGGAGGAGGAGAAGGTGGAGGAGGAGGAGGAGGAGGACCAGGAGGAGGATGATGAGGAGGAGGATGAGGACGCGGAAGAGGGAGGGGGAGGGTTGAGAATGATGCCATAGGCCCTTGTGCGCCTCCTGGAGGACAAGCGTAGATGTTTTAAGACGTCCGCAAATCTCGTTCACATATTCGAACCTCAAGGAAGAAGAGGAAACGGAGGAGGAGGGGGAGGAGGAGGAGGAGGAGGAGGAGGAGGAGGAGGGGGATGATGGTGATGATGATGATGATGATGATGATGATGATGATGATGATGATGATGATGATGATGATGATACTGAGGATGATGATGAGGATGAGGATGAGGATGATGATGATGATTCTGATGCTGATGCTGATGCTGATGTTGTTGATGATGATGATTATGATGATGCTGCTGCTGCTGATGATGATGATGATGATGATGATGATGATGAGTGAGGATGAGGTTGATGATGCTGATGATGATGCTGATGATGATGCTGATCTGATGATGATGATGATGATGATGATGATGATGATGATGATGATGATGATGATGATGATGATGATGATGATGATGATGATGATGATGATGATGATGATGATGATGATGATGATGATGATGATGATGATGATGATGATGATGATGATGATGATGATGATGATGATGATGATGATGACGATGATGATGATGATGATGATGATGATGATGATGATGATGATGATGATGATGATGATGATGATGATGATGATGATGATGATGATGATGATGATGATGATGATGATGATGATGATGATGATGATGATGAGGCGGAGGAGGAGTTGGAGGAGGAGGTTTTGACGATCAGGAGGGCGAGGAGGAGGAGGAGGAGGAGTTGGAGGACGAGGAATGGAAGCGATACGCAGCTGGTGTCTTACCATACCTGCCCAAGGGCTCAAGGGCTCGAGGTGACGCATCAGTCTTACCATGCCTGCCCACACCACCGACCTGGGCCACAGCAGGGCCGTGGGCAGGCTATCGTACCTACTTGTTTGTGCTTGCAGAGATGAAAGGGTATTGGGCCAAGTCGGTGTCGAGTTCGGTCTCTCAGGATGCTGAAGCTGCTCAGGGTGCAGTGGAAGCTTTGATCGAACACATGAGGATGGAGAGGGAATCTGGAAAGTCGGAGAGCCAGCTCCTTCAGGCGCACAATTCCAGATAGATTCGGGCGCAGAAGCAGCTCGAGACCCAGACTAACTACGTGGAGAAGCAGGTGCAGGCGTTGGCGGACTTGGACGTGCAGTGGGCGCTCCTAGTTGCCGACGTCAAGGGGGCGAAGGAGGTCCAGGCGGAGCTCGAGCAGGAGGTGGCCCACCTGCACCTCACTACGCCGACCCGCACCACCGCTGACCCGTACATGCAGATGCCGCCAGGCATCCAGTCGATTTTTGTCCCTGACACGATGGAAGGGACGGATGCCACCATGGCGGCTTTGAGTGGGATGCAGTCGAGTCATATTTTGGCGCAAGCTGGGGGCAACGCCAGCGCCTCACCCCCCAACGCCGCTTCAGACGGCCGTGGCTGCGGGTCCTAGCCAGACCGCATCGTCTACAACCCTTGCGCTCCACAAAGCACGAGGGCGGGAAGTGAGTGCCGAGCTCACGGTCCGCAGCGGTCTCTGGGCCTTCGGACCACCCTTGATGGCTTCACACTTGATTGCTGGACTGCGTGTCTGGGCATGGTTGCTGGCCTCCAGTCAGGCCGGAGGTCTGGGCATGATTGCTGGCACTGCTGGGCCTGGGCATGATGGTCAATATTGCTGTTGTTGCTGTTTGGGCTCTGCGGATTCGGGGGCTTATGCGGCGAGTTTTTTTTGGGGGGGGGGGTTTGTGTATCTTTTTTAATCCTCCACCAAGCGCTCAGCGACTCGGAAGTTGAGGTGGGTCAACCAGACGCCTGAATGCATCCTGGCGCGTGCGGCTACCGCGCAGGCCTTTGAATTGGTGTTTGTAGACACGCTCTCCGTCGTCCACAGGGAGCTCCTTGAGCTTTTCATTGCTGGCGCTGTTTCGACGGAGACAATGCGGCAGACAGGACGCCCTGCTCACGCTGCGGGGCGCCGTGACCAAGTTTTCAGACAGTCATTCTCGGTTTGCACCACCGAGTACCGCATCCTACGCTTCAACGTTGCACGGTTTTTGGGATTTAGGTCCCACGAGTACTTGCGAACTCGGGATGGTTCACCTTCGACTTCTCGCAGAACCAACGTCAACGTTCTGAGAGGATGGCTGCGGCTTGAGAGCTTGGGGTCAGTCAGTACTCTGCAGATGGAACCTTCATCAAGTACCTTTCGAGGTTAGTTCATTTATGTTGGGAACGTCCTCGTTGCGGCTGCCCCACTCACCATCATCGTGGACCTCTCACCGTGCTGAACTACTTCTCCATCGACCGTCGCCCGTCGTTGAGGACAGCGCTGGCTGTCCACGTGATGGCGTTCGCGGGTGCTGTTCGCTCTGAGGCGGGGATCCCTGCCCCCCGCCCCTGCCGGCGCATGCCGGATTTCATGTCGCCAGCATCGCAGATTTTTTCGGAAAACGATAGGATGGGCCCGTAATGTCCTGGGCAATTTCCGTCGGGATTTCGATGTGAATTTCGCGCGGCATTTTTTGACCAGGGAGAGCTAGAACAAATCCGCGCGAAACCCACTTCGTTCTTCGCTCGCCGCTTCGGGGCTTCGCATTGACGGATCCACGCAAAAATCCGCTGCAGCACGTTTGCCAGGTTGGCGCAGTGACGGGTTGGAGGAACGCGAGGACGTTGTGGCAGCAGCCGCCGCCGCGGCAGCTGGCGGATAGGAGGGGGCGCAGAGAGGGGCTCGTGACGCCGAGACGGAGCATGCAGCCATGACGGGCAGTCGATCGGCTGAGGCGGCCGAGCTCGCCCGCGCCCCCCCTGCGCGCCCTGCGCGGGGAGGTGGGCGCCGAGGAGGCAGCTGCCTCTTTAGATTGCGGGTTGCCCGCGGTGCGAGTGCGAGAAGGGCGGCCAGTCAGTGGCCCGGCCAGTGAAGGCCAACTCCTGGACCAGTGCGGCCGCCTTCGCCCCGGGCTCCTCAGCCCACGTAGTACTCGCGCCAGAGCGCGAACCACGTGGTCACCCTATGTTAGGGGTCAAGGTGCGTCTACGACAGCAGGGGTGGACAAGTTTTTGGCTCCCTGCGTCGGCGCCCGACCCGTGGTAAAAGCGCTGGAGTTTAGGTTCTGGCCAGGCCCCGCTTAGACGCGTGGCGACTTCCTTCTGGGAATGCTACCCTGGCTGAGGCCCGAATGCTCCGCTGTTACTTTAGAAGCAAGACTCTGGGAGTGGTTTCGATTTTTTGTAATTGTTGGAAGGGTGGAATGGGTCTGCGGAAGGGGGGCCTCAGGCTGGCGCGTGCTCTCGGGGGTGGTATCATTTGGCGAAACCTACCAGATATTTCAAGAGGGGGCCGCAATCTTGGGCCTCATCTGTTCCGGGAAGGGTTCTCGCCGAGCATTCTGAATGGTCAGTTCGTCACTTCGACTCCCAGTCAGGCGTGTCTTTCCTGCGCGCTAGGTCGTCGCTGCGATTGCTTGTTGATCATCGGGGACGTGCTGGCAGGGGTCGAGTCAGTGAAGGCCGGCGCGCAGTCCGACATTTCCTCAGCGTCCTGTAACCTTCAAGAATTTTCCGGAGGGGGTCGGCGCCGTGATGGTCCCGAGTTTCCTGAAGTCCCAGAATCCCCGTAGGCTCCCCGATAGGCCCGCCTCATCAGGCCCCGGTGTGCGCTGGCATCCCGCAGACCCCGGAGGACCTCGGGTTGCATTTTTGGGAAAGAAATGTGTTTCAGAGTACCTGGTCAGGATGGACATGGATGGGCATGGATGCGCGGCGCGACAATGGGTGCGAGCTGTTTTGCGCAGAACTTTCGAACGCGCCGTGCTGAGCCCCCCCTTTTTTCCTTCCTCTCTCCCTATATTGGAACAAGATGAGCTTCTCACGCGTCGGCAGTGCTGCGATGACTTAGCCGGGTCCAGTTACGAGGCCTCCCAGTCCGGAGGCGTTTCCAAGTGTCGCTTCGCCAGTGGCTGCGGGTTTTGGCGTGGGGCTTTGCAGGCGCTGCCGATCCCTCTCTGGGGCCCCTCGGAGATCGATAATGCCTTGCCTGCCCGAGCCCCAGTCGCGTTGAACGCTCTGGCAGATCATGTTGGGATCGAACGACTTTCCAGAGAGTGGGCTGGTCGATCGCCCAAGTGGACGGACTGGTGCACTGAGGCGCTAGCAGGGGTGCGAAATGGGCTCGCGCACGGGCTGAGGCCGCGGGCGATCGTGAGCCCGATCTGCTGCCCGCCGACGACGGCCGCTCGACGTCGCGCCTCGCGTCTCAGCTGGAGCAGGAGCGAGCGAGCTGGTCAGAAGCTAGGGGGGCCAAAGCTAATCTCGAGAGAGCCCTTCTGGAGTGGCCTGAGTATGCGGTTGCTAAGGCCCCATGTCCTGATGAGATTGTGCGGATCTCCAAGAGCTTCAAGAGGAACTCTATAGCTGCGGATGAGGATCATCCGAGGCACTGCCAGTTCCTATGGGCCCGGTCACTCGTGCCTGAGTAGTGGGTTCGGTATGGTGCTTATTTTCGGGTCGGCTCCGTTCTGGGTGCAGACTTTTGTGGTTGTGCGTTTCAGGAAACCTACTTTGGGACGGGGGCCTATCGGTTTCTTTCAGGCCCTGTTCCGAACGCCCTCGAGATGGAACACGAACGCTCGTAATTCTTGTGGAGCAGTGATCTGGTGCAACGGAGTCGTCTGCATGGCGCCTGGGTGCAGCCTCGAAGACACTGCTTGGCGCCAGACGGCGCGAGGAGATTCGGCTTTTTCCCAGCGGGAGTATGTCCTCAGCTTGCGGTGGACCTGAAGCAGTGCTACGAGCGCGGCCTTGGATTGGGGCTTCCGAATGCACGCGCTCAGGTCTTCGACCCACGCCTATTCTTGTGACCGTATCCTGGGTTTGGGCGGTGCGTGCGCAGATGCAGTCACGTCTTGTCAAGGTATTGTAGCAGGTGGCAGCGCGGCGCGACGTGGGCGGTTACATGCTGTGTCTTCACCGAGGCTGCAGAGTTGCCAGCGCCGGTTGCCTCCTGCATCTAGCTCCCCACGTTGATGACATTAGCAAAAATGAGAAGGGCGCGGGTTTGGATCAGTGTGTGATCAGCATGGGTTTTGTTCTCGCTTTTCTGGGTGACCACCTCTCGAATCTCTTCGACCGAAGGATATCCATGAATAAGTTTGATATTGCTGGGGCCTCCCCAGCGCTTTTTGCTCAGGGTCGCCCGCTCTAGATCAGTATGCTTGTACTTACGACCCGTCAATTTTTTAAACTTGGAATGCGACGTCGCCCCTAGGAAGCACTTTAGCGTTCGGAAAGCCCAGTGGAAGCGGAATGGGCGGTGGGCCAAGCGAAGGGGGGGGGGGGCGGGCAAAATCAAATTTTCGGAATCCCAGACGCGCGCGTGATATGGTTTCTCGGGGTCAAGCCTGCCGCGTCTTATGGGTGGGTGGGGTGGGTGGGTGGGCGGGCTCCTCGAGACATGCGCGAGCGTAGGCGTCAGGCAGCTGGCTGTCTAGGGCTCACTTCCTGTGGAGTAGATCTCAGTGTGGCGCTGGCGCTGGATCCATCCAGAGACCCCATCGAGCACGCTGCCGCGACCCTTCGCCGTTTTGCCGGACAAGTTTGGATGGCGCCTACTCCCGGGCACAGACGTGGGAGCGGTTTGTCAGTGTGGGTGCATTCCAATATTCGACATGCTTTCCAGGGCTGTATCCAGGGTCATTCTGGAAGTTCGTGGGTTCGTAGGCAAGGAAAACCTCGGAACCAATTGGAGATGT